AGAACTGGAGATTACCATGCTAAGTGCAATAAGCCAGGCAGTGAAAGAAAAAAACATATAGTCTCACTTATAAGAGGAATCTAACCAACAAAATAAACTAATGAGCAAAACAGAACCAGAGACACAGGACCATGGAACAGACTGACAGCTGCCAGAGGGGAGGGGGAGGCGGGGACTGACTGAAAGAAGGTGAGGGGACCAGTCAAGGAACATGTATGAAGGACCCGTGGACAAGGATAATAGTGAGGGGACTGATTACAGAAGTGGGGGTGGGCTGGGTGGAGGGGGGCAAAGGGGGAAAAGTGAGACAACTATAATAGCATGAACAGTGAAATATTATTGAGAAATAAATTAAAAAGGACATTAATGGAACAATTCTGAAATTTGAATTAGGTTTGTGAATTAGATATTTGTATTACTTCCATGTTTATTTGATGCTTTGAAAATCATACTATGGGTATACAACAGAATGTCATTTTTAAATAGAAATGCACACTGAAGTATTTATGAGCAAAGGGGCATTATGTCTACAACTTACTCTCAAATGGTTAAAAATATATGGATATAAATATATTTATTGAATATTATACATACAAAACAGAATAATAAAGTAAATGAGGTAAATGTTCTCAATTTAAAAAGAGAACACTTGTAATAAGGATGTTTCTAAGAACTTTTATTACAGGCTGCATTGAATATACCAGTGTTATGTCAGTGGGTGGATTTGGCACCCATTCTGTAATGTATGTAGAGAAGTGTTTAAGAACATGTATAATAAAGATATTTTTTAAAAAACTAAAAAAGGGAAAAGAAAGATATAAAAGCCTTTCTATAAAAGCCTAGAGAAAATATTTGAAAAGTAACTCAATAAAGCCCAGAAAAAAAGGAGAAAAATAAAAAAGGAAAGGGTGAAGGGAGAGGAAGGGAGAGGGGAAGGGAGGAGAGGAATTAGAAGAAAAGAGGAGAGAAGAGAAGGGAGGGGGAGGAAGAGACAGAGAGGAGGAGGGGAAAATAGCTGTTTCAGGAACTTCAAAATGTTGGCCACACTTTTCTTTTGTAATTATGAAGGATTAATGTACTAAGTAGGGAAACTGTATTGTTAAGTAGAAAAGCTTACAGGTGAACTCTCAGGAGAGCTGAGGAGGTGTCAGCAGCAGACCCACCTACAGCCCATCCACCCCCCAGCAGTCACACCCCACCCATCTCTTTGGAACAACCCTACTAACAGCAGCGAAGGGATGCACGTTACCTTGTTTGAGGGATTTTGTTTCCCAGGACAAAATTTTGCATCATTTCATCACTCATGGCAAGGACACACTGCCACATGACCTTGTATAAAGAAACCTGGAAGCAGATGTCTCTTATTAAAAGTGACCCTGGGTGATGAGGCTCAGTGGATTGAATGCGGGCCTGTGAACCAAAGCATTGTGGTTCAATTCCCAATCAGGGCACATGCCTGGGCTGCAGGCCAGTTCCCAGCAGGGGACACACAAGAAGCAACCATACATTGATATTTCTCTCCCTCTCTCCTTCCCTTCCCCTCTAAAGATAAATAAATAAATAAATAAATAAATAAATAAATAAATAAATAAATATCTTATTTAAAAAGTGAATGGCCATCACTATGTGAGCTTATTTCTTATATTCTCATGTGTCACCTCCCTTGGCCATGTTCATCCTCACAGTAGTTGTGTTGACTTTTAGTAAAAATGGTGTAGGAAAGGTAGAAATGGTAGAGCTAAGGATGATAAATGGGAGAGTATATTTCACATATAACTTTACAGCCTGGGAATTATATATATATTTGTGCAGTAGTATGGGAGTCACATTTCTGTTTCTTTGAATGTTTTTTTCAAAACCCTGATTCTTTTGAAATGTGTAAAAATGTCCATGTTTTCTACTCTCACCTTTGAGAATTACTTTCTCATAAATTGCTTTCTAGTTCAAAAAATTACTTCGTTTTAAAAACAGTAGGAGAGAAGCAGCTTTGCCTTTATGGGACCAGAGCCACAGATCTCTCTCTGAAAATTGAAGAAATGTTATAAGGACTGGACATACCTCAACACAGAGTCTGGCTCAAAGGATGAGCTCAATAAATGAAGGCAGCTATCATTTTTATTGCCTTACTTCTTCCTTCCCATATAAAAATACAGAGGTGGCTCATCTAAAAGAAATCGGGACAAGCAAAATGGGAATTAAAAAGTACATTGGGAAAGCTAGGCAGTCATCATCAGAGGAATTAAGCCTGTTTGGTCTTCTCTTATTTCTTGCTTTCCAATCTGTTTGTGTGTATTTATTACACTAAATACCTAGTGTTCCTATTGCTCTGTCTCTTCTTTAATCCAGCACCACTGCTCTGTATAACATACTCTGGCATCTTCTATGAAGAGACACCAAGATACAGACACTGCCCTTGAGCAGCAGCCAGGAAGAACAGTAGATGATGGGGGAGGGCCTTGACTGGAGAGCTGAACAGACTTTTTGCAGTGTAATGATTGTTATTAACTAATTGCGAGGCTTAGCATAATCCCAAGAATGGCATTTCACAGATTTAACAGATGCAGCAGTTCTACCCACTAGCTAGATTAGCCCCAGTGATGCCATAAAACTCTTATGTGTATTGAAAGTCTATGAGACAATAAGCCCGAGGCATTTTTCCAAAAAGTAGAATAGACAGTGAAAGTGGATGGAATATAAAATATATGGAAAGCAAAAGAGAGATAAGTGAAAAGAAAATAAAGGTAGTGCATGTAGTAAATGTAAAGAAATAGGGTTTGATGACCACCGAGGGTAAACCCTGGGAGGGATTTGGGAAGATGATCATCTTTGAAAGTCCTTATAGGAACATGACAGCAGTCTTAATTAAGTTGACATAGCATCATCTTTTCCTAGAACAGTATTCACAAAAGATTTGGTTTTCAGCAACTTCAACAAGTAGAACAGTCAAGTTCTATATAAAGTTGATATAGCATCATCTTTTCCTAGAACAGTAGTCATGAAAGATTTTGTTTTCAGTAACTTCAATTAGAAGAACAGCCAAGTTCTATATAAAGTCTGGCCAAAATGTTTCACGACTATCTTTTTTGCGCCAAGCAAATTATTTTTAACCCATCGACATAAAGACTCAAGTACATCATCAAACAGAAGTCTGTATTCTTCCACTGTTGATTCTAATTTCATAATTCAAAACAATTGAAGAGTCTAAACATCAACAAAGTACAACAAAGCTTAACAAAAACCAAGCATGCTAATGCTGGGAGGAATCCCAGGTGTCTGGTTTGTTGCCTCTCTATTTGTAGATAATTGAACTGAGATGTGGTGCTGCCCACAGACCTATGCAGCTGATGGCAGAGCCAGGGCTGGATCCCAGTGTCCTCAACACCTGGATCAGCACCATTTCACTACTTCATGGCGCTTTCCTGGAAACACTTTAACCTACTACCCTTTCCAGTGATATTGTACTCTAAGCAGAATTAAATCTTTGAAATAAAAGGAATGAAGCTGTGATTGGTTGACTTTCCAAGTTTTAGTCAGTAGGAAGAAACATTCTGTTCACCAGTGTGGCCTGCCTGCAACTCCAAGACGCCCCATGAAGAGAATGGTTGCCTGCCTGCCCTCCCTGCAATTAACATGAGCTTTGGGGGCAAAGGGAGAATTTGGGTGGTGTGCACAACAGTGGGTGTGGATATGGAGCCTCCAAACCTTCCTTTCCTCACAGGAATATAAAGGAGACACTGGAGAAAATGTGTCATCATGACGTCGGGTGCTGAATGGAAGACTCAGTTTGCATGAGGGAGACTTGGCTCTCAAACTCAGCTATTCCACTCATTGCCTGGGCAACTTGCTTTCTTTCCGGGCCTCTGAATTTCAGTTTCTTTGTTATAAAATAGAAACAAGATGCCATCAACAACTGGTCTTAGAAGTAATTCAGTAGGATAACAAATGTCATCACTCATTATAAACCACACTTTATAGATATGTTATTATTGTTATTTTTGCACTTTTTCAAAAATTGGTCACTCTGGTTCTTGCCTCATATTAAGCACATACCTATTTAGTTTGGGCAAGTATAAAGTAACAGTTAAGAGAAAGGATTTTGACAAATCTGAGTTTTAATACCAGTTCTACATTTTTTTTCTTATAGTACATTCAGCAACTTATTTATGCTTTCTCAACCTTGACTTGTCATGTCTAAAACAAAATTGGTAAAACCACCTGTCTGTCCCTCAGGCTGAGTTAGTACATTCCCAGTGCTTACAACCTCACACATGCTTAACTGCCCTAAATATGTTAACTAAGTTTGTTAGTACAAGAAATTTTTTAAAAACTCCCCCATGGAACCACCAGAAAGGATTTGGTTCTGAAGTCTGAATTAAAGGACTGCTTAGAGTTGCTTTCTGAGCTGGTTTTAAGGTCAAGCAGATGTGAGTCTGTAGATGCTTGCATGCCATGCAATGGGCTCCTTCCAAGGCATCTAGCACAGGGTGCTGCCATGGCGCATGTTGTGAAAGTTGCAAGATTAGAGACCCAAATTCCCTAAGTCTAGAATCTCCACACTCACTTTCACTCAGGGTTTAGTGGTTCCCTGTGCACTATAATTGGGGAATTCATAAAATGAAGTTAGGAATATAAATTAAGTTGTATTCATGTCACTTACAAATTGGAATTTGTAAGTGATATGGAATATCACTTAAACTGGAATTATCTTCTAGAAGGTGGGCCCCTTGTAGAATAGGCTTCTCCTGCTAGGTGAGTGTTCTAGGAACACATTTGTGTTAGTGTACCAGCTGGTGTTGTGAGAGCCTGTATTTGGCCTTCAGTAATTTTTTTGAAGACTCTTTCAAGTAATTTGCCCATTTCATGATAGATGATTTACAAGCACATCCACCCACACTGCAGTAAGCATTCAGCAGTTTTGACCAAAAATGGCATGACCCCTGTGTTCTACCATTCCTATTCACCTGCTCTTACCTCAAGAAACTTTTTTTTTATTTCCCCAGATAAAAAAAAGTCCTCAAAGGGAAACATTTTGCAGACATGGAAGAGGCAGAAGCACTATCAGGATCAATGAATTTAAAAACTGTTTTGAGCAATGGAAAATGTCTCAATACATGTATTGCATCAAATGGAGAGTACTTTGAAGGTCACTGAAGTTTAAACATGTAAGAATAAATATACTTTTTTTATTAATAAGTTCTGGGTTTTGGGGGGGTTCCCCCTCATAATTGAATATATTCTTTACCTTGGATATTTATTAACTAGTGATTTTAATTTAAATGGAAAGACCTCCTGCTTTAAATTATTATTTTAGTATTTTATTAGAAAGCATTATTTAATGATTTTCTGTAAATGTGTGCAACACAAAAGGGTAAGTGCAGATGCAGATATGGAGTGCTCACTTCTTGCTTATAATCTGAATGTTCTGTTCAAGGATAGGATGCAATTTTTGGAGAACTGAAAGATCTTTCCAGTCAAGGTGACGGACGGCAGCACTGGAAGCCTCCTACAACCCTATCAATACTACAGAACAACCATTGCTCAGAACTGCCTGAAATCTAACTAAATCTAAGTCCTGCAAGTAGTGATATAAAGAAGCAGCCACATGGAGACTAATAGGAGAGGCGGTGGAACAGGCTGATCCCACACCCATGTCTGGTTTATAAAAATTGGGAAGGATATCTCATCTGCAGAGGTTCTCCCTGAGGAAAGAGGTGTCCCAGTCCTACAATAGGACCCCAGACCAGGGATCCAATGTTGGAAACAGAGGTCTTCACAACTTCTGGCTATAAAGACCATCAGGGATTGCGGCTGAGTGAGACAGAGGCTTCTGGAGTCCCAGGCATTTGGCCTTAAGGGGTCCACGAATATACTTACGTGTGAGGGAATGAGTTCCCTCTGGTTTCTGGTGCTGGGTTGGTAGCTCAAGGGGTGCAAGGAACATGAGGAGAGGAACTAAGGTGTCTGGCAACAGGGTGAAAGCTAGAAGCGTGAGGTGGTTTGCTCTGGGACAGAGGTGCTGACAGAGGCCATTGTTTCTTTTCCAAGTGCTTCCCCCATGGAGCCAGCAAGCAGGCACTATGTGTGAGTCTTCATCAACGCACCTATCACTGTTGGCTTCACCCTGGTGATTCCCTGAGACCCCACCCCACCAACTTGTCGGCCCACTAAAGCTGTTTCCAGTGGCTTTTCCATACAAATGACATATCTTGGTTCATGCTTCAGACTTTCCTAAAATCTCTCAAACAAGCAGCATCTGGCCTTAGCATGCCCCATACCTCTCAATAAGTGGCCCCAACCTGGCACTAGCTATAGCCAGCCTTGGTTCTCAGCTTGGCCTCTCCTGGGTACCTCCAAGCCCAGCACAAGTAACAGCCATCTGCATATTGCTTTTTAGCTCATGCTGGGTGGCCCTGGGCAAAACAAAGGTAGTGGTTGACCATGGTCTGCACCTTCTGGGAGGCTCTGAGCCAGTACACCTAGCAGAGAGCTTCTGACCACATCAAAGTACCTCCCAACTACCTCTGCAAGTGACACACTCAAGGGGAAGACTCAGCAGGCACCATAGCCTTGTGAAGTAAGTTCTTGGGGTGGGCCCCTGCATAGCTGATCCTCCATGGTGGTTGCAGCCAGTCCTTGCAGCCAACCAGGATAGGAATAAACACTTCCCACCAATGTGCTAACAGCAATCAAGGCTCAACTACTGGAGGAAGGTGTACACAGCACTCATGGGGGAAAGTCACACCTAGAGTGCCTAGCTCAGCTGAATGGTGAACAAGGAGGTTGCACCACTGGACCCTACAGGATACCTACTATGTTAGGCCACTATACCAAGCCTGGGAGACATAGCAGCTCTATCTAATGCATAGAAACAAACACAAAGAGACACAAAAATTGAGAAGACAAAGCAACATGTAACAAATGAAAGAACAAAACAAAACTCCAGTAAAAGTACTACACACAATAGAGACAATCTACCAGATGCAGAATTTGAAACACTGGTTATAAAGATGTTCAATGAACTTAAGGAAAGAGTAGACAAACTTAGTGATAACTTTACCAAAGAGACAGAAAACATACAAAGAACCAGTCTGAAATGAGTAATACATTAACTGAAATGAAGAATACATTACAGGGATACAACAGTGGAGTGGTTGAAGCCAAGAATCAAAACATCATTTTGGAATATAAGAAAGCAGTAAGTACCCAATTAGAACAACAAAAAGAAAAAATAATCCAAAAATATGAAGATAGTGCAAGGGGCCTCTGGGACAACATCAAGTATACCAACATTTGCACCATGGAGTTGCCAGAAGGAGAAGAGAAAGAAAAAGAAATTGACAACTTGATAAAACATAATGACAGAAGACTTCCCTAACATGGTGAAAGAAATAGACATAAAAGTCCAGGAAGTTCAGAGAGTCATAAACAAGGTGAACCCAAAGATGCCCACACCAAGACACATCATAATTAAAGTGCCAAAGGTTAAAGACAAAGAAAGAAACATAAAAGCAGCAAAAGAAAAGCAGTTAGTTTCCTACAAGGAAGCTCCCATAAAACTGTCAGCTGATTTCTCAACAGAAACTATGCAGACAAGAAATCAGAAAGAAATTTTCAAAATGATGAAAAGCAACAACTTTAGATTCTCTACCCAACAGAGCTATCATTTAGAACTGCAGGATGTCTGAGGACCTTCTCAGACAGGAAAAAGGTAAAGGACTTCATCACAACCAAACTAGTATTACATGAAATGTTAAGGATCTTCTTTAAAAAGAAGAAGAAAAGAAAAATGATAAAACTATGAACAATAAAATATGACCTTAAATACATGTCTATCAACAACTGAGTCTAAAAAAATAAACAAACAGAACAGAAAAAGACTCATGAGTGCCGAGAACATTTTGACGGTTGCCAGATAGCAAGGTTTTGAGGGCTGGGATGAAAGAAATGAAGGGATTAGAAGGTACAGATTGGTGGTTGCAGAGTGGTCATGGGGATGCGGAATGCAGCATAGGAAATATGGTATTCTGGTTACTATGCATGGTGTCAGATGGGTACAGGATTTATCAGGATGATCACTTAGAATGTTGCATCATATCTGGCCACTGGGGTGCACACCTGAAACTAGCTTAGTATTGTATGTCAACTGTAGCTGAACAGTAAAAAGTGATTTAAATTTTTCAGATCAATTGTCCTCATATATCTGGTTGATGTTTAACACTGAAATGAAGTGGGAGATATTTGCTAACTAGCTGCCCACCTTGCACCATGCTTTGAATTCACCATGTGATCATTTTTGGCATTCCTGCTTTTCTACTTCAATGCTGCAGGAAAAAATTAGCCATTCTGGGCATATTTATGGCACCTTTATAAAATGTGTGTGTCTCCATGTGCATAAGTAACTGAGTGTGAATGAGTGCTAGTGTGTTGAATGTGAATGAGTGTGAGTATGTGCATATAATTTTATCTATGTCATTTTTGTCTTTCATGCTAACTTTATAGTTTGATTCCTGTATGTAATGTGATGCTGCAATATAGCAGGAGAAATAACAGATCTGTTCAGGAGATTTTTTACTGCAATGGTCATCATGACATGAAACACATCCCCTTGTCCATGCATTCTCTCCCATATATTCTACTCTAGGTCCCCTCTGGATGCAAATTTGATGTGGTCCTAAATGACTTAGAAGTCATCAGAGCCAATTCACCATGGAAAAATGTGCTAAGAATATGCAACTCTTTCTGTCAGCTCCTTCTGTCCTGCTTCTACTTAGTAAGACAACATATGAATAGCTTGGAAGTTCAGAAAATAGCTTGAAATCATCTCCCTTTTCTTCCTCACCCATTTAGCCTATTCCTGTGTAAAGGTCTAACTCTACCCCTACCTTCACCTTTAGCTTTCTCTGGTCATTCCACCTCATAGGGATTTGTCCTTGAACTTTGAACTCTGATGTAAAGTGATGGAGAAGATTTATTCCATCAGAATTCTTTGGGGGGAAATCACTGACTATACATGTTTAAATATAATATTTTGAAAATGTTCTTGGATTAAAAGTGAGATTCAAAGGAAATGAATAAGTAACAGAAGGTGGCTACCAATACGCCCTCTGAAAAAATTGGAGCCTATTACCTGGAAAGCTCATAGTTTGGCTGAGCAACAGTGATAAAATAAGTCAGAGGGGGGATTAGTTGTTGTTTCAATGCTGCATTTCTTTCCATTATAGAAGAAAAAGGCACTTGAAGATCTGTCTGAGAAAGAGTCTCAGAGTGAGGGGAGAGAAGCCAGGGAACCTGGTGTGGGTTAATGGGGGGATGAGAGGTGACAGAAGAGCCACTCTGCAGCTGAGACATCACTTTGGAGACTACTGTGTCTAAGTGGAAATTTGGGTGTTTGGTGAAGAGCTCATGATCTAACACACCTCTTACCTTTCTGCTGCCCAGTGTTCACTAATTGACCACGCTTGGTAGTGCTTTTCCTGAGCTCAAATAAGAGATGAAATGGTTATCTGTCTGGGCTGGTTCAGGAAAGGGAGACAACATGTGCAGACAGGCACCTGGGTTATTCTTGAGCAAAGCTATGTCTTTGAGCACTACCCTGGCATCACACCAGTCACATAAAGCCACATATTCTAGTCTCATCTTCAAAGAGGAGACAGACAAGGTACATAAACACAAAGAACACAATTAAAGATCATTGTAGCCCAGTGTGAACAGATGGAGAAGTTTTCTTCTTTATATCCTTGGCCCATGCGCTTTATAGGTTCCCACTAAGTACAGACTTGACAAGTGTTTGTCTGTATTCCTTCTAAACAACTTCTTAGGTTTCCTTTTCACATGAAACGGCATGGCTGGGCATCATGCCTACCTCTAAAGGGAATACAGAGCCCTTTACTTGGCTAGGCTTATATTAATGATAAGGTACCTTTTGATTTGGTTGGAAGTTCAAAAAGTAGTCCAAAATCTGAGATTTAGATCAGATTTGGAGTCTTCAGAGATTAATATGTCCAGGTAAAATCTGGTGGCACCCTCTAATGAAATATTTATTAGGACTGTGGTTTTGAAAATGACAGATCAATTTAAAGTGGTGATTTTTTGGAAGACAGAGGAGCATAGCTGAGCTGCACATCACAGGTTGATATTTCCTTGAACCTCTAAGCTTCAGCCT